CTAAAGGTATTGAGTTTGACACCACTGATTTAGACCCACTAAATATATAGATAATGTTATGGTAAGCATCAGAAAAACACATAAGCATTGCTAGGTTTATTACTAAGTGATGAAAAGGATACACTCAATACTGTAGTCCACAACACATGTAGCTATGCTTTCTTTATTTGAGTCCCCCGTCTGAGGAGTCCGTTTTCTCATCACTTCAGGATGCCTGAGTCCTCCGTTTTCTCTCAATCTTAGAGTGCACCCGAGACTTCGTTATTCCTTAGTAATGACACAGAATTTGAAATTGCAACTGCGGTTGCAATTGTTGAGGCAACTTAGATATGTCTGTTTACAGCAAATGTGTTATTGTCAATTTGTAGGTGAAAGATTTTATCCTCAATTGATGTAGCTGAAGCAAATGGGTAAAAACACCTGGAGGCAACTGCGTGATAACGAAATTCCCGGCTTGAAAAATGCGCTATAACAGCAGGTGTGCAGATTTTGATGGAGGTGTGATAACGAAAATTGCGATAACTAAGTGCGCTATAACCAAGGGATGACTGTACTGTAGTGAATGGTTCCTTTTGTTGCCTGAGAGTGATGTTTTCAAGGAGCCTTGGGTGTGTCGTGCTTACGTGTGGCTCTTGTGTTGATGTTTGTGTGCTGGGTGAAAATCATGTTTAGGTCTAATGTGATACCCAAGATAAAAGTTTGGACAAAGAGATGAAAGATTAGAAGTTTTGTTCTTTCTGTAGTTCCTTCCTATCATGCTTAAGGATTTAAAGAGATCTGATTGCTACGACAGTTACCACCTAAGGCTGATGGCTGGGGTTTTCAGTCACACTAGCATATGGTTCAGTTACAGACCATTATATCATTCCTCAACCCTTAGTTTCAGTCTCCTGGGTAGACAGAGTGGACACCTCCCTAGTCAGTTCTGTATGCGAGTTTTTGTGAGTTTATTATGTGCTCTCTTGTGTTCTGTATAAGGATGAACAGGAACTATGGAGGGGTTTTAATATTCAGCTGATCCTGGCTTAAGTCATTCACGAGAGCAATAAGGTCATTGACCAGATCTCCATTAAGTTGAGCAAACCCCTCCACCTAAAACTTCTCTCAATGTAGGAAAATACTGTGTACTTGCTCCAAGATTTTTTATCTCGAGTAACACACCCTAGAGGGGATAAATTTGAATATATTATGCAGTATTTTATGTTTTGTAATTACTGTACTTTCATTAAGAAGTGACAGTTTTACCTATTTGTGTTGCAATGAGACATTATATGAGTGGATTATTAACTCATATTTGATGTACTGTATGAGAGTCCTGGTGGACGTCCTGAGTGAGATTTACTAGTAATGTTTTTTTCTTGCCATTGATTTTACTTAGATGACAACTAAATATTTTCTATACGAGTCGGTCTCAGAATTTATGGTGTTTGTAATTGTTTGAACTGCTTTGTCTCATGGGCACACTAAAACCAACACATACTGTCATGTCTCTCTCTATTTACCTGGGTATAACAGAGGAATAAATTAATTTTCAATTTAGTTCCAGTCACCAGTGTTAGGTTAATCCTGGCTGGCTGGTGAGTTGCTTGAATCGAGGGCTATCTATAACATCCATTATTTTTAGGTATAAAGTACACATACCCCCAAAAATGTCTATGATTTTGTGTTAGACAATTTGACACAACAGTTGAAAGAATTTAACAACCATATTAAGACAACAGGTGTCGTAGTGTTCATTTTGAAATTCATCAGACCCCTCTGTAAAGATATTTTCTGGATTGTATGTACAGCTGTTAATATCATGAGAGTTCCATTCATCATGCACTGAGGCAAGATCTCGTGTAAAATTATCACACAGTATTGTCTTATTCTTCTTAGTAGTACTGTATTTTTGTTTATTTTCTTCGTTTTTTGTCAGTATAGATTTTAGGCTTATGAAATATACCCTTTCATTGTTAATATACTTTTATTCACTTTATTTATTGGTGAACAGAAGTCTTGAGGGATCATTTGCGCCAACACCAGCCACTTCCCCAGAGCGTCATTCCCCCGCCAAAGATGGAGAAGATGTGATTGATCAGCAGCCCTCAGTGGAGGAAGATGGAATGGTGGAGAAAGTAGAGAAATTGTCAATGTCTGCTGGCCCACAGTCGCCAGGTAGGAATGCCCAAAACAAGCTAATTTGGCACTTTTATCGGTTCATTAGTAACACTTGTATTGCGGTTCAGCTTGCATATATTTCTTTGTTTAAGGAAATGTATTTTGAAGTGGTGTTACATTTCAGTAAACAGAGGTATGTTTGTTTTCCATATCAATTAGACTCTTTTGTGGGTAGTTTTAGTTGCATATTTCTTGATATGATACAGTCCTTGTTTCCAAAATGTGTATAGTTGGAGGTGTTAGGATGAGTTACCATTCCCTAATTTATAGCCAAATCAGTTTGCAAGTTTTTAATCAATTGTTTGAAGCATTTGTATCGAGTCTTGCACATACGAAGGTAAGAATTATACTTATTTCCAGCTGAAATGTATAAAACTGAAACTATATTTTGTCACCTTACATTTAGGGGGTTGATCAGAGGTTCATAGCTAACTCAAGACTTGTTTTTGAAACCTGTGTGTGTAAAGAAGACATTTATAGTGTCTGTGGGACAAAAGATCAGTGTCTTGTCAAACTTGAACCCTTGAACTTTACCATATCTTGCCAACACACTGTCTGTCTTCCTTACATACATACAAGCACAGGTTCCAAGAATATCAATCCAACTTTGTACCTCTGATATAACCTAATAATGAGAGAGGTGACATGAAATAAATAGTTAATGAGGTAATTTATTCATAACTTATTTTGGAGCTGATTACATGTTTTTTTCTCAACTGTATTTCTAGTGCAATGCAACTTTTTATTCTTCTGATTTTTAGTCTTTTTCTACTATGTGTGTGGAAGACTCGGTAACCAAATGCTTGAAATTATACACAAAAACTTTCCAACAATTAACTGAAAAATACTCGATGCCTTTCTTGGCACATTGTATTCGCCGCTATCAAGCCTTTCTTGACGCATTCTTACTCGCTCTCGTGTTTCTCCGCGTCGGTAAATACTTTGTAGAGTCTGGTCTCCTTTATGAGAAATTTATCAATCAGTTCTGTTATGAAACTTGGGCTTCATTAACCGAATCCTCTTAACTAATCTTCCACTGTACCGTCTCTGGTTCTGTGGATTTATTATACGTACTGTGTCTCTACTTTGCATCTTGTACTAAAATAAAATAAATGCTCAATAGCTTTTACATTCATATTTGATAATTATTCTTTATATCATTCCCTTGATATATATATATTTCTTCTATTTAATGCACCTAACCAGGTAGTGAATCAGAATACCGTACAGTGAAACTTTGCTAATTTGTAGTAATGAAGGGGAGGGACTAAGGAATATATATTTTTTAGTTTACCATGAACATGTTCCTGCCAATAAAAATTCAGGTTTATGTTTTAAGTACCCTAATGCAGTGCAAAATGGTCTAGAAATAGTAAACAAACTGGTGTAAAGAATTTAAAGTTTAATATTGTAGCTTTAAAGAGGTCAGGGAAGAGGAATATTGTATTGAGTGTAATAGAAGACAAGCGCAGACTCCCACTATCTCGTTATCTGCTGTCACTTTGCAACATCATCCAGGCACTCAAGAATAACAAGTTTACCCCCTAGTCTTATTTACATGTTTACTGGAGTTACAGGCTATTCCTGCCTTGCTGGACAATGTGGCTAAAGTAATTCTTAGGAAAATAAAAAGATCTCATAAATGTTCATTTGCCATGAGGGTTGACACATGATTGATAGATATTAACATTTCTCTCTAACATTCAGTAAGTATTTTGGTTGTACTGTAGGTTAATATGTTAAAACAATATTGGCATTACCAGAATTGTTCAAATTATCAATAAGCCAAAGTATCAGGTAGTGAGATTCACATAAGCAAAGTTTCTCTGTATCTGTATCTTGTTAGTATAAAAACCTTTATTTTGTTTCCATATGTAGTAGTAGCTGATATTATATGCATGCTCTTGTGTGGAGAATGTAAATGTAATGAAGGTTATATAGATGCATATGATTTGTGTGGTAAAGTGGTAATGGAAATTATTATTTGAATACAGTACAGTATACAATACAGTACCTACTGTATCTTTTTTATTTTATTTATTTTTATTGAGAAAAAGAAATATGGTATGACACAAGAGAAGAGAATTGTAGAGTGTGCCATTCATGTTCAGTTTGAGAAGAAAGATATGGGTGGATGCTTTAGGATTTTGGTCGAGAGAGAAGAGAGTGTGTAAGAAGTATGAGTTACTGGTATGTTATTTAAATGAGGTTGAAGATAGAACAGGTGACTATGTGTATGTCTTGCTTCATTTGTGTGATATATACAGTACTGTACTATAGTGTTTGTAGTTGTCAAGTTTAAGCAGTGATGAGAAGATTTAGAAAGTAATATTGTTATTTATGGATGGTACATTAATTTCAGCAGGAGTTGAGGAAGATAAATAATAAGCGGATTATACAAACATAGAACACACCAGAATAGTAAAAAAATATTCTCAAACAACAGTGAAGGGATTAGGGAAAGTATGTTAGTTAAAACACTGAATATAAATGAGAGGAAAACTAGACTTCACATGGAGGAGGTGCCGACTTATGCCAGGTTGTATCGTAAGGTTTATTATGGAGATTATATACATTGGGGGTGAACACTGTACTGTTTTCCTTTATCGAGGTAAGGTGCTGCTAACATTGGTATTTAATTTTGTAGTTAACCACATATACAGTAGTAATAAAGAAGATATGTTCAGTGCTGACTGTCTTATTGACGTGATTCTGTGGTTTTAAGTAATTAAGACCGTGTGAGAAGGGAAAACAAGATTGTGGAATGTAGTTGGATGGATAGAATATGAACTGGTTGTAATGAGAATGTTGTCAATTTGTTTGGGTTTTAAAAAAGAGTATAGCGTACCTAAATGTAGCTGAGTTACCAGAAAGACTTTTGAAACAGATTTGTTAAAGCTCTATACAGTACAAGTTGGTTAGGTTAGGTTAGGCTGTAAAAATATGAGATATCTCAAGTGGTATAGAATGGTTATTAGTACAGTATGGATGTTGTAATCTTTTCTTATATGCTTATGAAACAAGTGGCGTGTCATATGGGGCCCAGTTCTAACGACCTTAGTCTAATTGAACCTTAGTTCTAATGGCCCCAGTTTTCATAGCCAGACTAGGTTGGGGTCTTGTTAGGACTAGGTCTTGCAACCTGTAAGACATTGGTGTAAGAGTGCAGTAAATTAGTAAAGTATAAAGTTCAGTGAAAACAAAAATATTCATACAGAGAAGTACTAGTGGTTTTGGAACCTTGACTGAGGATGGAAATATTATGGGTGTTATGGAAGGAGTATTATTATCTTAAATGTGATAATTATGATGTTCCTAATATATTGTCCCAGATTCAGATGATGTCAGACATTTTTACAGTTTGATGGATATATTTGTTGTTCTCTTTGTACTGTGTGGATAGTGTACAGTACTCAACTAGCCTGTATCTGCATGGAATTATAATTTTTTTTATGTTTTTCCTCGGTAATTATTAGTACTGTAGTGTGAAAGGTTATTGCTTCTTAAAGTTTAGATTGATTGAAAGTGATATGTAGGAGTTACAGTATTCCTCTTGAATTCTGGAAAAAATAGGTGTTTGCCGACATTGTTGCTGAAATTTGTGAAAAAAAAAATTGGCATTACTAAATCACTTAGGATCAGGATTTGGTGTTGTTCCAATTGTTCTTGTTTTATGTAGTTCTATACAAAGTGATATTGCAGTGTTCTATGTTAGTGTCACTGCAGTCTACATCAGCATGTTGCTCTCTACTTTTTCCTCTTGCTTAATAGATAAAACCTCCACTGCAAGTCATAGAAGTCAAAGCTGCCAGTGTGCTTTATGTCATGATTTTTAAAGAAGACAAATACGTTGTGAACATATTAAATAGTATCATGATGTTACAGTTTTTAGAAGTATTTAAAAATAATTATCTCCTTAGCAGTACTGTACAGTATAGAGAAAGAGATGCCTTTGCCTTCCCTCCTTGAAAACTAGCCTCCAGTGGCCTTGTAGGAAAGCTTAATGAGATAATGGGTGTACCATGTTCATAGCCATGTTGACAAGTACATCATCATAGCACTGTCAGGCTGAGTTATAAAATGCAGTAAGAATTATAGTGAATTCCTAGCTTGTGTGTTCTCGTCACTCTCACGATTGTGTCATGTAAGCACCAAGCTTACTTGCATATGGGAATAACAGTTAACCAGATGGTCTTTTGTAATGAGATTATCTCCATTTTACAAATATTTTGTTGACACTTGCCCAGGTAGGCTGATTATGGTACAATTTCTGGGCTTGCTAATGAGAATGTTTTGTTGCCACAATTAGATTACTGTAGTAAGAAGCTCAACAAACCTTGAACCAATGATGTTGACTCAGGTTTGCTTCCAACACTTCATATGGAATGTCATGCCAGACAACACACTAATAGGTTTAGTGGAATAGCACTCTAGTTGTGAAGTTGGACATTTTTTTTTTTTTTAAATATTAATTTGTATCCAGAAAAAAGTTGAATCGAAGTAGGTAAGAAGTAGCTTACCATGAAGATTTTAGTGTAGCAAAAATGTGAGTATTTAAAAGTGTCATGCAAATCATCTCAGCAAGTAAAGAGAGATGTTTGAAGAGTTTTATATGGTCCACTGTGCATAAGGTGGGAAGTGGCATTGAAGGTAAGATAAACAAATTTTCATAATTAGTATGTAAGAAATATGAAACCTGACATATACATTTTCTAAGCTTTGGCATTTAACTCATCAATTGAACTTACAATGCCATTCCCTCTTGTCCATCTTCACAATCCAGTCAAGTCACCTGAGCTCTGTGGATTGGTCTCACTCTGTAAGTGTACCAGACTTTTGCTGGGATGTGTTCTGATGGGCTTACCACCAAATGCTACATGCTATGTGCTGTCTCCTCTGTGCAATTTATCCATCTTTATCTTGTTATATTTGATGCAGTTCATAAGATTGGAAATTATTTTTATCGTGAGGTTTATACAGTACTGTATACATGAAAAGTTAAGGTCTATTCTGAGATTGTAATTGAAATTGGCTCACATTTAATAAACATTACAAATAAGAAAGTAATTTCCAAGTTTGACACCTCTGCTCATTCATTATAAAAGGAGTTTGGTAATTGCACATACAAGTCATGTATTCTGAAATTTGTAGTTAGTTGATACCCTCACATGTATAAAATTTTTGGATTTTTTTTAACATTCAATGTCAATCCTTTTCCAAAATATGTAGTTACAAATTACAAAGTGTTGTTGACAATCATCTCTTGCACAGATCTGTCTCAGGTAAAGTTTACCTCACTGCCTACACATGGAAGATAATTTTATACAACTCCTTTTATTAATTCTTTGCAGTTTGCACATAATTCCTGCTTAGCTTCCATATTCCCTGTGGGAGGAAGTGTGTGTGTGTGCATGTTGTTAGGATGCCATTAGAGCTTTTAGAAGCACTTCATATACAGGGAGTCAGGAAAATGGTCTCTCCTAAATATACTTTTAAAACTGCAATGCAGATATTGGAGATAATTATTCCTGAAAAAAAAAGTGTCCTGGTTTACTGCTGTGAGTTTCCCTTGTTGTCGTGCAGGTGATAGTATTTATGGCACAGTAATTTACATATAGTGTACTTCCAGATGGGTCCAGGAGAAATTGATTAAACTTTCTGAACTTATCAACCCCATCACCAGTGAAGATTGAGGCTAACTTGTACACTCGTTTAAGTTTGTAGATAACAGTTAACATCCCATATTGAAATGGCCATTTATATTCAGTGATCTGTTTTGTTTTGTTGGTTTATGAGGATGATGGAGTCACTGGAGGTATGAGGATGATGGAGTCACTAGAGGTCTACAGTTTTATCCTATGAATGTTATGACTCTTCCCTAGTACAGTACAGTAAATAAAACTTTAAAATGTCCGATATCAGGCTCTCGGCGCATTTCATTCCTAGAGCAACCATTTAGCACTTTACCCTCCTTTAAAGGGATAGGCATGAGCTTACTCTTATGATGGCTTAACTTGCATACAACATTCATAAACATCATGATCTCTTTGCATCCTTCTAGGTTGTGCTTTTACTATGTCTTATAACTTATTTAAAACTTTATCCTAAAATTATTCCTGTGTACCTTACCCTCATACACTGTTACACTTATTCTTTCATGATCCACCTCCTTCACCTGTCCTAATTTTCATGTGCTTCACCTGTCCTCATCATTGGATAATCCAAAATATTTTTAATCTGGCACATCTGTGTTACATTACCGTACTGAATTTTTTATTTCCTCAGTAATTTACATCTGGTATTGAAGAAATCCTCTTTACTTCCTGTACTTTGTTATCTTTCACCTCACAGCACACAATAGGACCTTTTGCTAACACTCCTCAAGGAGATCGTGTCATATTGGCTGACTTGAATTTTTTATATTATTCCTCCCATCAGCTTTGGCAAGTTGCCAGTTCTTAAAAACTTTCTCTATGTCAGCATCCATTCCTTTCTATTACTGGATGTATTACCCAAGCATTGGAATTCTTTGTCTGTCTCTAATATACATATCCAAATTTAAACTATATTTTACAATGCAATTTCTCATGATCATTTTGATGATTTATATTTATATATTTTTTTTTACATTTTACACATCAGAACTTTATATACTACATATATTGTTTTATAGATACTGTACTAACAGTGGATGGTGTTGCTGATGTGTTGTAGTCAAGTACAGTAGTAGTGTTGATGCTTCTCCATGCTTCAGGAATGATTGTTTGATTGACATGCAGTACAATACAGGCTGCCTGTGTGGGATGTTTTTAGAACATTTATGTGGCTGGTTGTAAAGATAAGATTTATAGTGTGTCTCTGGGTACGTAGATTCATATTCAAGTTTAGATTCAGATGTTCAAGATTGAATATCATTAATTGTAAGGCCCAGAGACATAGCTTACTGTAATAAACATCTTTATACACAGACGCATGTGTTCCCAAAATAATATTTTTCAAGTTTGAAGCCTTGATATGACTTTACTTATTCATGCTTTATATAGGGGAATGACTGGTCTATCTTTATATACAAAGTTTTTATGATGACTGAGAAATTTTGGGATGGAAATGGATTGCCTTACAGCTTGTGTTATAAAAAGACAGTGGCTTTTATTACTGTCTCATTTCTTAGTTAACTTTGGTACTTTGGGTGTGTCCTGAAGAAAGGCTCTGTGCCTGTGTAATTATATCTCCATCTGTTCAATAATGACTTTAGTTGATGTTATAATGAGTGGGTTATTGACTTTACATTATAATTTGTCTCCGTTTGGGACATGATCGTCTTTTGAACAGCTTAACACTGTGACCTTTAGTAATAAGTGGTGTCAGTAGTTACTGAGCCTGTTTGTGATGCTTGTATATCCCTTGCATCTTAAAACTGGATATGAGATGTATACAGTATGTTGAAGCAGCTCGACCCACAACTGAGAGCACACATCATTATCAGAGGTCACAGTTTTAAGCAGTTCAAATCACATCCACACAACTAGGTGAAGCTAGATTTCTTTCCCCTCAAAATTCACTGTAGATGTAGGGAATAGCTTACCTAAGTTGGGTCTTGGGTCTCTACAGGTAATCATTTTAAACTTCAAAAAAGACTAGACAAGCAGTCGGTAGATTAAGTACTCTATTGTATTGTATAGTCAAGCCCACCTGTTATAGCAATGACTACTGTAATGTCATAGAATCAGTGATGTTAATAGTCATCACTTGCATTAAATAGTCACAGGAACTGTATTTAAATCTGTGTTTTCTGTTTATGCCTCAAAACTGCTTACATAAAGAACACCACTAGTTATTTGTCACTCATTTTGTCTAGTTTCTTAAGTAGATTTCACAATATATTTAGCATCATTAAGCACCAAATGATATTGTTATTAAGATATAAGTGTGATATGAATGTGCACACATATATAAACCTGTATATATATTACATAGAATACTTGAGCATAAGATACCATAACCCTGCTTTCAATCTCTTCTGTTTCTATGTGTACTTTTTCCTCTGTGTTTTCTTTGTTTCTATTTTATTTTCTTGTACTTCCTCCTTCATCCCAGTGCTCTTAACTCACACAACCTCTGAAGTTAGCAAATTTCCCAATTACAATACAGTACATCACATTTTCTTTTGTTCTATTCGTTTTTCTTCATTTTAGTGTTGTTCTACCAATGAAAATATGAAAGATTATTAGTTCTGCTACGGAATCATTGGAAAATTTGTCGGATTTTTTTGGTTAATTTACACAAAGTTAAATCTGTTTCATATTAAATTATTTTTTGTGTTTGAATCAATTTCATTTCCCATACTGTGTTATGGAAGAGGAATAACAGACCAGAACACATTTTTAATGGCAGTTAGAAAGAGAACAAATTATATTGAATGGAGGGGAAATATGTTGCTGTAGATTCTGGTTACTGTAACAGAAGGAGAGTTCTTGAAAGAGTGGAAAAGAAAATTGTATAATGTAGTGCAGTAAGAAAGGTCTTTGTTTTTATTTTCTTGCTTCCCAACTTTATTATAATTTTTTAGAATATTATACTGAAATATAAATTAATAGAGAATGTCATTTTGAAGTTTAATCCAACAATTGCAATTTTGATTGTGCCGTACTCGTCTTTTTCATCTAAAAATACCAAGTTAAATTTAGGTCACCAGATTATATTTCAGTCTTTTAGTGAATATTTTATAGTAGTATATTTGTTTTAGTGATAGATTTTATAGATATTCTAATTGGATGGAAAATATTAGTGACATATGTATTTATAGTATACAGGACAATTATTTTTATTTGGTTTTAATGTATTCTTGAGGAACCAGCACACTGATTCCCACACTTGCAGCCCGACTAACCGTAATGAATCTCCCTCTAAACACATGTCTGAATCCTAAGCTGAAGATAGATTTTGTGTTTTTTAAGACACTGTATGTCACCTCCCCCCTCGATAAAAGTTAAGCAGGATTTGTTCTTGACACTGCAAAGATTTATTTATGTAATTTTTTTTATTTATATTTTTTTAACATTCCTAATGATGAAGGGGGTGCATTCTGCTTCTTTACCATTTATATGTGTATACAGTATTAAAAGAAAAAAGTGCTTTATCCAATTGCCTAAAAGAACATTTTTATTATTGTCTAATGTATATTTCATTGGTAACAGGCAAGACGAGCCAGTGGCGTGATAGTGTGTCTCGCCCATCAACATCGTTGGCAGAGCGAATGTCAGCGCCCTCAGGCTCCACCATGACCGGTGTCCTACATGAAAATGAATCTGTTCATGGACACTTGAAATTCCATCACCATGCCTTATGGTAATAAAGCAGAAAGTGAGTGCTTCTTGTCTTTACCACCAAGCAAGAGAGCCTTTATTGCTGCCAGGTTATTGACTTGTCACTTGGGTTGAAGAGGTCCCAGGTGGCTGACAGTTGACACATCAGCATTCCCTGATACCTGTAAACACTGCAGCTCATCTTTATGTGGTGGCTACAACTTGCATTCCTGCCTAATTTTTATGTGCACACTATGGTACTATAGTTATTTAATAGGTCAGGTGTTATTTTTACTTTAGGTCAAGGATTGTATGATTTTACATTTTATTTACCATTCATAACTCACTGGATAAATTTATACAGGGCAAAAGTTAAAGCTATATGTTGTAAATTTAACATGATATTTTTATTGTGGTGTTACTGGTACTATGTAAAAGTTGAGGTGGAATGTGCTCAAGGTTGTGATTTCAGTCTGTGGGTTTGATATCCAGTAAGTGAAAAGTTTAATTTTATTAGGAAATATATATACTGTATAACACTGAACAGAGAAATCTGGATTAAATTCTCTGACAACTACTATCTATTGTACGCTTTTATCTAGTGGGATATTTGTCACTGGAGGACCTTGACGTATTTAGCATCCCGAGTTAGAGTGCTGCCAAGCAAACTGTTACGCTCTAATTACTTGGGTGTGGAATAAGTTTTTAATAGACTGATAGATGAAGAGATAGACATAAAGTGGAGGATTAGCTAAGCTTTTAAGCTTAAAAATACTATATTAAATGCAAAACGTCAGGATATTCCCAGTATTATGATAGCAGAGTGCGATTCATATCAAACGTCAGCTTTACTCATTGCATTATTACCCATCATTTCATTGTATGCATTTTGGGGAACTAAAATACCTGTACTTAGTCTTATCTGATAATCTCGTTAGAACTTTTAATGACTCAAGGATGTCTGCCAAAGAAACTACTGCTTTATGGGGTTAGTTATGTCATGTAACAAGTACTGTGCCTGATCACCTTGGTTTATAACATTTATTAGAGATCTGATACCATTGTTAACGTGGTATATACAGTACAGTATTTAGCATTGGAAGGGCTTATAGCAATTATTAATAGGGTACTGTACCATTATTGTGTGGTAGGTGGGTGGTATAAAGTGATACAGTATAAGGATATATTGTAGATGTAATTCAGTGTTTTGTGAGGCTTGGTGCACCCGTTCCATCTCCTGTTGTTGGGGTTGGAGTAAGGTTGATAGGTGGTTAGATATATGGGTGGTATATTTAGTACAGTACTCAAGTACCATCATCGGCTGGAGATGCCCTCATTGTCCAACTTGACTGCCATGTTCACAAACCTGTTGACTGCACTGTGTATACAGTACACTAAGCACTATTCTGGAGCAAAATCTGTTATGTACTGCACTTGCTGAAAATATTCCCATTATTCTAGAAGCTTAAAATGGGAAAACATGTTTCATCTGCATTGTGTTGCTATTTAGAATATTTAGAACAACTGAACTTAATTTGATATATGGTAGTAGGTAATTACTGAACACTGAAATGACTTGCCTTAAATTTGCACTTTTTTTACAATTAAGTAGCATGATGTAGTCCTTTGTCTGTAAGGATATGTAAACTTCCAGTTTCTGCCTTATTATGACAATATTATTATTAAATCAGTACAGGATATTCATGATTGAAATGAATGGTACGCAGCTATTTTATTTTTATATTTTTTAAGGGTACGATATGTAAAACCTGATAACAACCATTAGGCTTCTCAGAAGATTGATTTTATTTTGGTAGAAGATCATGAACAAAGTTTTTGCAGAACAGGAAGGCCTTCTCATTTATTCATAAGCTAGGGATACTCATGCTTTGTTTGAACTGATTGTTTACAAGTTGAAGTGGCATTATGTTGTGCACATTCCTTTATTAGTTTTTATGTTAAACCTTTTTGACGAACTTTTTATATGTTTCTTCGTGTCAGTGTAAAAATGAGTTAATGGCAGGTTCACCTGAAAATAAGTAGTTATGTGTTTATCTTTTTTGATGTGACAACAATGTACAAATTGGTTTAGGAAGAAGAGGTGAACCTAAGGTGGCATAAATATTTTTCAATATTCATTTTAGTATTAATTTCAGTTACATGGCCCTCAAATTTTGGCCCTCAAATTTTCACACTAATGGATTTGTTTCGTTTTGTTTGATAGATTCTACTTGCTTCCTTTTGGTGTAAGTGTAGATAAAGATATGTTTAACAAGAATTATTTATTGTTGATTTAAAATGGAGAAAATATTAATAACAATATAGAGAAGGCTTTTGGCACTAATAAAGGAACCCATAGGTAAGGTAAATGATACATCTTCCAACTTGGTATGTTAGGATATCATGTCCAGTTTCATGCTGGTTAAAATGTTGTGTATAATAGGTGTACAGTACTGTGAAAAACACCTGTATTTACAGTTGTAAGGATTAGTGCTAGATTCAGCAACCAATTTTTTGTTATGAAGGATATCTGAGTACATTACATTTAAGTTATTATTTTATGACTGATGCTGGGAAATTATCAGCACATTATCCATTACACGGTATGTAGTTATAGCTTATTTCAATAGAGTAATGTGTTGGTTTGGGGGTATAACAAATTTTTCAACTTCCCCCTGGAGAGGATACAGGCCGCCTCCACACATTCTCTCGGGAACATGATGACAACTCACGTCTCGTTGTCCTCCACTAGTGACCGTTATTTTAAGTTAAATTTTTTCTTGCAGTTAAGTTTTTTGAAGTGAGGTATTTTCTGTATAATGTATGGTCTTATTTTGTTCCATAATTCATCTTTTTTAAAGGCTCTTTTGCTGTTAATTTTCTTTTTTGTTTTAAATTATAGAGTCCCTCTGGGAAAATGGTACTGTATTGTATAAAGGCATATGGTCAATATGCTTGTTTCTAAACTATGCAGTCCAATACTTACTTTTCTTAATACTTTTATTTTACATGTTTTAAAGTACAGTACATAGTTGAGGAACTTGTGAAAAGTATTGATGCAAATAAACAGAAATTTATTGACAATGTAAGACTTACCTGACAAAATTTTGGTATGAAAAAGCTTTGAAGTAAAACTTATTGCTTCCAGAGATATAGATCCAGATGGTCTCTCTGTCAGCATTCCAGGGATGAACACATTGCAATTTACAAATCTTAACACATCTTGTTTGGGATGTAAGAAGAATGATAGACAACTGCAAACTAAAGAATTTTTGTAGGATATGACAAGCTGTATGGTACTTGAATTAATAATGCAAGTGTCGGTTAAAAATTGTCAGGTATTGTAAGTCTTAACATTGAAAAATAGACATTTTTCCCAATTTTATTAGTGAATATTGCAAAGGGCTTTACACATATTTCCATATATACTGTATATATGTACTATTTATTTTGTTTCTTTGAACTAATTTATTAAAAATGTGAAGTAGTTTACTTTGTGTTGTCTGTGTGTGCAGCAGTGTTTCATGTGAGTCATCAGTGATGGGCACAATTTTGATGCACAAAATTATTTCTGTATAGTACTGTGTATCTACAAACGTTTTTCTTTCTTATTAAGAGATCCAGAAAAATAATTTTATATGAATGACAGAGATTTTGTTGTTTCTAGATATTTCTTTAAAAAATATTTATCCACCAAAAATGATAAAAATTTAAGATTTGCCTTTGTGTCATATATACTGTTTATATATATATATATATATATATATATATATATATATATATATATATATATATATATATATATATATATATATATATATATTGTTTGAATCAATGTAGTACAGTATTTATAAAGTGATGTGTTTATACAAACAGGCATTTATTGTATTTGGTGCTTATACATGAACACATCATTACAAAGGAAGTGCATCTTGCTTTTTGTGAAACCAAAATTAATACAGATGTGATATAGTTTAAAATTCTAGTGTCAGACAGATACTTTCCATACATTTTGATACATATATGATAATTTTAATGCATATATTCAACTGCCTGTGCAAGGTTGCTGCACTTTTGTATACTGTAATAACTACTATCCAACAGTCCTTCTGTAAGCCAGAAGTCTATTAAGTGGAATAAACAAACATAAGGAAGTGGAAGAGCCATGGTTAATATTAGTATTCCTGTTTTTAGGATAACTCTTATGAATAGCTGCATGAATCTTCACATGAGAGTTCTGTCTTAACATTGTGGAAATAGATAAGAATTATGTGTACAGTACAGTATATTCAACACATATATGAACACTGCTTACAGTGGAAAGATAAAAATATGAAATTAATTCTCAGACTGGCACACCTGCATGATGTATATCCTTAAAACATGAATACAGTATAAAGGTTAATTAGAGCTCCACCTGATTTAGTTTGTTTATTCTGTTTAGTTGGTTTTCAGATCTTGGGGACCCCTGTCCAGGGTGTGAAGGGATAGTTAGAGTATTGCTGTCATGCACTGTACTTTCTCATCTTTAAGACTAAACTTACTGTATAACTTACCATTTAAAGTACTGCAAAATTTACCTATTCGATGTAAGAATATTCCAGAATATCATTCCCTTATGTAATATTGAAGAATTTAAACCTGTTGTCTGATTTTTGCTACAGTATATGTTTTGTTTATGTATTTTGTACAACTGACTGCTTCAACTCAGTCTAGAATAATTTTTAATGTATGTCCAGTCAAACAACTGCAGCTTCATAGTTAAGTACTGTAATGAAAATCCAAGTTGATGTTTTGGATTATATGTGACATTGCTGTTGTGGCTTTTGTCATTGATTATAGTTTTATTATTGTAAATGATGCAGAGATCTAGAAATTGTTTTATTTTATATATTGTATTATTATATGATCTGTTTCATTTGTTCTTTTAACAGAAGCTTTAACTTTAAAATACTCTGTAACTGTTACCATTGCCAAGTAATAAAAATTAACGTTCAACCAAGTGACCTTTACTTTGTTTAACACAAGAATGAAAGTACCTGTACAGTACTACAGAATGATATGTTATTGGAAATAAAAATTTAAGTGGATTAGCATTAGGAAGGCAATCCAGCCATAAAACTGCTTCAACATGCCTTTTGGCAGACTAGTCAACCAGAGTTGTGCCTGTCCCCTTGTCTTTGCTGCACTTTCTGGGCTGATGCCCTGGGTTTACAGTGGTGAGCATGAAAAGTAGCCATAAAACAATGATGATGCACAGTATTAGCCATACCAATGGTGCAACCTAGTTCTTGTTGCTGGGTTCTTGTATTGTACCTGGGCTCACATACTCATAGGTTGATATGTTAAAGTTTCCTAATACAGTAAGAACATAATGGAGGAAACTGCAGTGGGCCTATTGGCCCATACTGGGCAGTCCTATTTACACCCAACCTCTATAAACGGTGACATGAAAATGCATCTACCTGGCTCACTTAGGCCTTAAGTTAAGAATATTGTGGAAATGGATTCAAAATTGCATTGAAACTACTGCAACAAAGTGCAGTCTTATGTACTAAGGTACATTGGAATATAAAATTTAATACAAACCTCTGGGAACCTGTACCCTGATAATGGGTTACTGAACTTTTATCTTAATTGTGAGTGGCAGGTGCTTGGTGATAGGGAGTTGAGCCTGAAGGTGACCCTGGGCCCCAGCCCCCACACGTGCTCCCAGTAACAGGCTGATCAGGGGTGAAGAGGATAAAGTAAAGTAAAGTTGGGTGGTTGGCCCCATCTCTGTCATACACTGTTGGTAAGTACTGGGTGTGCACTGGCTCCAGAATGTATCTGAACCTTTGTAAGTGTTGGTCAAGTCTGATCTGTCACAACACTGACAGGTTATTCCAAGAGTTCACAACTCCTACTGCAAAAAAGTTTGCCCTTGCAATTTTTTCTGAACTTATGGCTTCTTTAATGTGAGGCTGTGACCTCACATTGGGCTGGCATCTGCTAATTCCAGGTATCAACACTAGACTTAGCAATGTCCCCTTATGTGGTTTTAACTTCTATTAAATCACCCCTTACCTGTCTATAGTATAAGCTAGACAACTGCAGGCATTATAAATGTTTCTGGGTACCTGAGGTGCCAGAGTGCAGCCATCAAGTTTGGTGTCCCTTCTTTGGTCATTTTTAATGAACTGATAGCTTCTGTCATATCTCGGGGACCTGATGGGGTGACAGACACCCGTACCCTACAGTGATTTCGATAAAAGCTTTGCTGTAACCTATCATAATAATCATGTGCACATAGTAATTGTTCTACTGTATATGCTAAGTTTTCCTGGATACTGTAGGTATCTGTAATTATATAAGCGCGGTACATTACAGCTTAAATTTATTGAAAAGCATTTAAAAAGGCCTAATTAACGTATTTGGGATGAATATAAAAAATATTCTTTCCCACAAGGGTGATACTTAAACCTCAAGAGCTTCAGCGCCATCTATTGATCACAAACCAACTCTTAAACTTGGGAATAAGTTGCCAACATATATTTTATTCCCTGAAAGAAAGTGTCCCATCTGAGTTGACACATTAATGACGTCTACCATTGTAAACATTCCAGAGAGGAGAACAGGAGACTCGAGAGAGGAGTCAGTCAGTGTAGGAGGTGACCTGAGAGCTAACGTACGGTAGTAACTGCTTCTATGACGAACGTTCTAAAGTACAAGTAAGTTTGATAGCGACGGATTTAACATTGTAGTTCACTTGTCTCATTATGTTGGTAAATAAGTACTCTGGATTTAACATTATGGTCTCTAGATTGTGGCTCTAATAGGTCACAAACTAACAATTATAAAGCAGCTCAGAGGTAATCATGTCACAGAGGAGATCATTAGTGGTGTTGAGGTGAATGTGAACAAAAGGAATGAATAAAGTCACAGTTTTGGCTTGGAATAAAGGTCGCATTTTACTTAAAACCATTAATAAGTTAGATTTGGCATTAGGTTAGAATGGGTTAGGTTAGGTTAGGAGGTGTATTGAGATTAGGGCCTACTTGACCAGTCTTTCTACATAATTCTTGACGACAGTTAGGAATAAATTTCTCTTAATATTCAACAGGCTGATTAGCGATGAAGAGGATAAAGTAAAGTATATTAATTTTTACAACATGAAAGTACTATACTGTACTTTACTTGTTTTTAATATCTTTTCACAGTACTATAGCTGGAAATTGGTAATTGTGAAATACAGAAACAAACTAAACTGCAGGTACTTTGTATTGAATATTATTTTTGCCTATATATTGTCACTGTGAATATATAAAACGTCATCTTGAAAATATGTTAAGGAAGTGGTGATGTCTTGCCAAGTATTAATATTTTAACACGTTACAGTACAGTAAACAGGTTGAACCTCCTCAGTCCTGAAGCTGTGTATAAAACTAATATGTCACATACAGTATACTTGACCATGTACAGGTGCTGTATAAGTGAAACTACCCAAAAAAAAAAAAACATGTGTATTGAGGGGTGAATGTATAATACAGTACTACAGTATAGTTACAGTATTTGATAAGAGTTTATCTTCATTTCACTTTCTGTATTACCTATGTTAATTTACACTTTATATAATAGAATAAAAGTAGCTTGTCACCATCTCAGTATAATGGTAAAGGGGCCATAGGTTGAGATATTAATATTTCAGAATACTGTAGGACGATTTTAAAATGTAGTCATTGCAGGGCCAGTGAGTGTTGCTATTGTGTGTAGCTATTGTAGTTTTCCATCATGATGTGTATAATGTATTTTTTTTTTACTTAAGTATTGGCTTTGAAAAAAATCTTCCATTTCTATATTGACAAAATAATAGTTTTCTTTAATTTCTTCCTTTTATTTCACTTAGAATATTTCGTGATTTTTAATTTTTTTTAATTTGCACTATTTTTCTGAACATCTAATTTGTGCTCCTAATTCAGATGGCAGTATCCCTTGTTTGCCATGGTCATTAATAAAGGAAGTAAAGTAAGTGCAAAAATTTCATGTATTACCCTGTACAGTACTGTATTTCCTTAAAGTGTCTGGACCACAGAATCTACTGTATTAGAACCTAACCTAACCTGATGTGTGCATTGTTGTTTCGATTTTCTTACTATCATCCAAACAACATCTCTAGAAAAAATGAACGAATTCAATCCAATATAAATTGTAATAAAACTGCCCAATGTGATCATCGTTCGTTTCTTGGCATGTTAACAAAGACTGTGAACACTCCTGTATAACAGACGATGTGAATCAAAACATGGTCGTTACAAGAGATCCAACGGTGTCCTGATTGCAGTAAATAATTTATATCATCATCTACAAAGCACCTAGATAAGTGAAATTATTGCCATATGTTTTTATCCTGTTATTTCCCTCATCTTTCATGTCCTGCCCACTAACAAATAATCTGTGATGGAAGGATAGGCTAAAAAGAAAAAGAAAAAAATACTACAAGGTTGTTATATAAATTTTTTACTCAGTATCTTCCAAACAACATATCCTGAAAATTTGGTGCAATTCCATAAAGTCTTCTGGTGCTAACATTCTCCTCCACCTTTACTGAACACATCTTTAGTTGAGTCCAGGAGAAGGTGCTACTAAAAAAGGTGGCAAAACATAGAATGAACGTGCATAGGTATGACATGAATCATAAACTCTACAATTGTAAGTGTTAAAAGAGAACAAAATGAAGGCGGTCATTGTCAGGTTGTAGTATGCATTCACAGGTCATTTAACCCTTAAATGGTGGCCATCATGGGGGGGGGGGTAGCTGTAGGGATGGTGGCCATCATATATGAAAGTTAGTTGTAGGGATGGTGGCCATCATCTATGGAAGTTAGCTGCAGGAATGGTGGCCATCATATATGGATGTTAGCTGTAGGGACGGTGGTCATCATATATGGATGCCAGCTGTAGGGACTGAGGCCATCATATATGGAAGTTAGCTGTTGGTAGCATTGGCAATCATCTATGGAAGTTAGCTGTTGGCAGCATTGGCCATCATTTGTGGAAGTTAGCTGTTGGTAGTATTGGCCAATATCTGTGGAAGTTAGCTGTGGGGACAGTGACCATCATGGGTGGAAGTTTTAGTTTCCTCGTGTTCCATTTTTGAGCATATGGGAGGGAATCCTTAGCTGCCTATTAAGGGTTAAGATATAGCTAAGGGAGGGAATATTTGGTCTGGGGAAGTGAGTTAGCAAGGTAAATATTTGGTATGGGGAGAGGGGGTCAGTGGTAGATGGTGGTACTATAGTGGGAAAGAGTGATAGTAACCAGTAGAAAATGAATTGTTAGTAGTAGATGGTATATGGTGGTTGTAGGTGTTGTAATAGATGATAGTAGAAGGTGATGGCCAGGAGGTAGGTGGTGGTAATAGGTGGAGAGAGTTAGTTGCAGGTACCAGATAGATGGTAGTAATGGTGGTGGTTGAGTGACTGGCAATCAATATCTACACAAGAACCTTTGGCTCTGTGGCTCTGAATTAATGATAGGGTTATGTTGAGTCATGTGGCCTGGACAACAGGAAAAGAACGAAGTACAGTATGTGACCATTGATACCTGGGAGAACACTACACCAAGAACTAGTAGATGATAAGGACGAGTGTAAACGGTAATAAACTAAACTACTGTATGTGTAATTTTGATGAATATTTTATGATTCCTTTGTTTTATGTGTGATGTTCTGGGTGAGTGGGTGTTTACATGTTTGTTTACTGTTTGTTAGTTTGCGTACATGTGTGTGTGTGTGTTATAATCGATTAATGGCGTTTTTATTCAAGTGTGTTTTTTTTCGTTTATTCGTATACCTGTATATACTGTACAGTGTATTTATCCATGTAAGTACAGAGTAGCGTAGGTTGGAAAGGTGTACAGTGCAGGTATCGTGTGAAGGAGGAAGTGGCATGAATAATATGTGGCCTGATCCATTTTTTGTGATGTCATCCTGGGGGGGGGGTGGGGGGGGGACATTGATTACCAATTCCTCGTAGAGAGTGTAGTGTCGATACCAGAGGTGCTTATATACCTGGCACACCTTCAACGGGCCACACCTTTAAGGGCTCAACACCATAAAGGTAATTTTGTGTTTGAAAATACCAGATATGAACTTATAGTAGCCAAATAGTCCTTACATGTGCTCAAGGTTGAAAATTTTGACCTTGAAAGATGTGGAATAACCAGACAGAAATTTAAAATGAATGAATGAATGAATGAATGAATTGACAGGAATGAATGAATTGACAAGTCTTCTGGATGTGAGAGAACGCATTTATTGAGAAAGTTTAGTACGTACTGCACTTATACCGCTGTGATTACTGACCACTTACAGGCCATTATAAAAAGGTTAATCAGTGGTCTTATCAGATGATATTAGGTATACATGATATGGGACTCCAGTATATCAGTTAATGGTGATAAGTAACTCTTTAAATAGTCATGATCAGTACAGTATAGCTCATAAACTAACCAAAATTCCAAATACCAAAACAGTTGGTAAATGTGAATAAGAATTAACAGCTATTACTTTTTATTTTTTAATCAGGTTTCATGTCTGTTATTTTAGCTTGGTGAAAAGTAAATACAGTTGGTCCTCATATTACGCGGTTAATGTAACCCGGAGGGTACCGCGGAAAGTGAGAAACGCGTAAAGTGAATAACATAACATATGGGATTAATTGAAATGGAGTCCGGGCCGATCCCCAAACTCCACTTTTTGACGACACACAACTATGTTGTAGTAAAAATATTATCTTAACTTTATGATGGCATGCACACACAATTAATAATTAAGAGAAATATAAATAATATTAGGTTTTTTAACACTTACATTAGTAGAAAAGATGGCTGGGCACACGGGGATGGGCGGTTGGTTCCGAGGCAGAGGGCAGATTATTGGCCCTCACCTGTATCACTTGTATCAATTGTATCACTATCCACCACAGAGGCTTGCAGAGCCTCTTTGTCAAACCCCCCAAAGTTCATATAAGTCCATATCCTCACTATAATTATCACTATCACTGACTTGGGCCGGCTGTAGTGGGTGGCGGGTGAAGAACTGGTCATGTTTTGATGACTGGGCGACCTTGTGCGCACCATTTACGCGCCTCTTACACAACATGGCGGATGGCGGGAGGTTTGGATCCAAAAATGGCGCGGCTTGCCAGCCGCTCTCCGCGTAATGGGGTTCACGACCGCGGAATGTGAAAATGTTAGGTTCTGGCAAGGCACCGCGTTAATGGTGAAACGCGGAATGCGGGACCGCGTAATATGAGGACCAACTGTATAATATGATAAAAAATTTCCATTAAGCCAGCCTTCTCGACCCCTTGTGTACCCCCATGAGCTGCTTAAATTTGTCTGGCAATATTAAAATAAAATATTAAAAGTGGTGTCCCCATAGTGAAGGGGTTAATAAATATTTTATTCTGGTCTTATTATTGAGATGTCACTAGATATATACTGTAAATGAGAAGAGATGCAATTCAAGTACTGTAGTAACATAAGGGGAAGTGGGGGTCTTATGTTAGACACTGTGTAAAAATATATCCAGTAATGACTTTCTATTTTATTAATGTGTACAGTACAGGCAAACAGGGGAAGATTGACTACAGGGGTGTATAGTGTGAATGTAAAGTTTGGAAATTACCCCCTCCGCTCCGCCTCAATTTAATGCAATACAGTATATAGTTACCTGTGCTGGACAATGCTCTCTTTTATCTTCCATTGTGATTACCTGTAGTGGAGTGTTATTGTTTTAACTCGGGTATGAAAAGTAACCTGCATGAAACCTACAAATGATCCTTCTTTGAATGGCACTGTACTAACTAATGAGTTTTATGATTTCACAGGAATTGGTACCGAATGGAAGGGGGGGACGACACAGACCATTTCAGGGACCTGGAGCTGCTGAGAGAGAGGTAAGATAAGGCTGTGTCATGTCATAATTTTTTCACTATGTTTTTTAGTAGATTTATAATGAAGATGACTAACTTGTTGTATTTAGACATTTTTTGAAAGTCTGCTTTTGAGAGTTTGATTATGAAGCTGTTTCTTCTGAGATTATTATTTATACATCTATTATGTAACAAATCATAATTTACTGTAAGTTATTTTATTGTTGTTAAAAAAAAAATAACTCGTTGAATTATCATGTAAGATGAGTGAAGACTATGCAGCATGTAACACTTACAGATGTAGTGCCTTGAATAGAAATCGAGGTAAGAATGGGAACAGTGATGATGGAGCTGGATCAACCAAACCGTCCCCGGTGTGTACCATAAAGGACCACACTAATGATGTCACCAGTGTGGATTTTGCTGGCAGGTCATTACTTGCCACTGGCTCATCGTAAGTCTGAACCTCAACCTTCAAGGATGTTTTATTTGTCACTTGGCTTCGGAAAAGCACCACTTCCTCCTGTAGATGAAGCCATTTGCTTTAGAAAATGCAGTAGATCTTTTGATCTTCCAGCAATAGTTGGTAGGCTGTTGTAGGTCATCTAAACTGTAGCTTTTGTTCTAGACTTGATCAGTCTTAAGCTAAAGTCCATTTTATTCATGATGTTTGGGAATTAATTTTTAATATTTTATTTAAATTATTAATTAATGGGAATTATGGATATTCCAAGTTTAAAGTAATTTGTACTGTTCCAGGTAATAAGATGGAATGAAATTTGATTAACCTCCAAAGTAGAGGAGGTGGTCAGGTTATCAGATATGTATCTTTTAGTGTTTATACAGCCTCCTTTACATTCAGCTTTTGAACATGTTGGAATCCTTCTGGGAATTTGAAAATCGGTTGATTAATGGGAACAATCAAGTCATTTCCAGAGAGATTTATTCTATTTCCTGTAAAACTGATGTGCTCTTCCATACCAATGGGTTTTTCCAACAGGGACCTGCTACAAGGCATATTACCCCAGGTGTTGTATCTCCTCTAGGAGGAATCTTCTAAACATGCTCTCCTCTGTCATTTCTATTATTGAGGTATATAGTTTCTGTAGTTGTTTGCTGACATTCTCTTACAACCTGAATATCCACATGAGGTTCATTTTCTCTGGATATGGAATATACTGTTATGTAATTTATCCCCTGTAGTTACATTTACTGAATTACGAACATCATACTGTTGCTGAAGGAACCGACTCTATGGACTTCATTTACAGACTGACAAGCTATGTTCAGTTAAAGTGTAGCCAGGTTTAGGGGTAGGTGGTTCATGCCATCAAAGATAGTGTACAGTGAGGTGACGGTTCAGAAACATGTACTGTACTGTATTTCAGTCTGTTTTGCTCCTCAGGCTTGGAGGGCTCCAACTTTAGATACAGTGCTAGGTATGACTTCTGATATTAGTTTTCACTTTTGCAATACCTGTATTAGTTGTTGCTTAAACTTCAAAAACTTTTTGATTGCATGTTATGTAACCAACACAGTCTGATTTTGGTTTCAGAGACAAAAGTGTACGGGTTTTTAAATGGCAAGTTGGGGACCAGTTTGTTGAAGTTGGTTACTCCCCGCTCTTGGGACACACCTATGCAGTCAACTGTGTGAATTTCTCTCCCTATGGAACAAAACTGGCTTCTGCTTCAACTGATGGCTCAACAATCATCTGGGACGTGAAGGTAGCAGTACATAGTGGTATATATTAGTGGAGAAAGAGTATTGATCTTTTTTATATACTGTAGAGGTCCATAAGACGATTGATGAAAACATGGCACTCTGGTGTTTTTGTATTATTTTGGATGTTCAGGGGGTCCCTAACTTACGAACGTCTGACTTACGAATGCCCGCCAAAATGAACGGCATTAAACTTGAAATTTACACTACTGTATTTTATTTATCTGATGACTTATTTTTAACTTTCATTTGCTGTATTTTGTCATTTTATTTCTTCTTTTGTCTTGAATCAAGTGATTTTAGAAGTATATAAGGACTTAGGCTATGATATAGTGGGATTTTAAACATTGTTCTGTAAATACGGTATGTGAAGTATAGCGTGTGTTCTGACTTGTGTACAAATCTGACTTAAGAATGTCCTCAGGAATGAACCCCGTTCGTAACCCGAGGACCCCCTGTATACTAAAGTAGTTACTGTAAGCACACTAGTAAATTTGATTTCCGAGAGATAAGGGTTTATCTGCCCAAACATACTGTACAGTACAGTACTGTATTACCTTTGCAACTATAATCTTGAAAATTTTAATACAGGTAGTGTTAAAATTCTTTGTATAGTACAGTACATGTACTGTATAAGTATTCCTGTATGTGCTGATTAAGGAATTGCAGTTAAGAATACAGTATATGATATTTGGGTAATTATTACTCCTAGTGATCTTTGGAAAATTTTAACTAGTTTTATAATGCTAATTCCTCTCTACCTATGATTCTTCTATGCTATTACCTGTTGGTTGCCTTATTGGAAACTTGATAATTATATGGTGCCATTTATGTTAGCGTTGTCACAGTAATAGATGAAATGTGATTACTGTATACCAACAGACTGGAGACCGCTTGTGCACACTACAGCCACCAAGTGATGCTGCAGTGCGAGTGTGTGCTTTCTCTCCAAACTCCGCTTTGTTGGCTGCAGGAGGAGATGATGACATGGCTGGTATATGGGATGTGTCTACTCTATCACTGCTCAGGTAAGTCCTGCAAAAATTTAGTTGAATTACTCATGATTTTATGACATCTGAGTCATCAGTGAGTGAGTTCTGAGTTCCAAATAAAGGTTTGCTTGGAGAGAGACTGGTGGAGTATGTTTTTAGGACAACCTACCCATTGTATTACTGAATAAAGATAAATGAAAAATTCTTTAAAATTCGTAAATGGTACATCCAGTAGACAGATAAGCAATACAGTAAAGGGTGAATCAAGTTATTGTTTCTTCTATGACATCAACATTACCTTGTAAGAACTTGTAACATGTAGAGATACTAACCAACATGGACATACAGGTACTCCTCGACTTACGGCCTACTCGACTTACGACCACCCAGACATACGACCGCCGCAGCTGTATAAAATATTTTTCAAATTAAGTATTTTCGAGTCCCAATGATAGTGATCGCGCTGTGTACTGACGGAATTTTCCATTGTAATTCCCTTTTAAATGGCTGGCAAACATAAAAGTGAGAGTTCTCGTGGTGCTGAGAAGAAAAAGAGACACCCATTTTAGATTTCCTACGTATTATTTTCGCATTTTCGACTTACGACCAATTCGACTTACGACCTGAGTCAGTGACCTGTGCCCAGGTGGTCTAATCCCCATAAAAAAATAAAAGTAATATACAGTATAGTACTGTACTGTATATAGTAATTTTATATTTATTACATTTGTGGAACATGTTTTTATGGCTACAAACAGCGTTTATCTGTAAACTATGTGTGGACTTACTACCTACAGTACACTGTTACCAAGGGGGGGGGGGAATGGACTTGTAGATTGTCCAATGTCTTTTTATACTAATCAAAGTAGCTCGTCATGCTCACATACATTTGCATTGTTAGGCTTACCCAGTGAGTTGGGTTAGTATAACACTGAGACAAAAATATATCTTAACCCCGAAAAAGCAAGAAAGTGTATCCTAGACAATCCTGTACTGATAATTCAAGTTCTTGAATCAAATAGTTGTAATTCTTGTAATTAGTCTTGTTTAGTATTTTTTAATTTTTAGTGTATGGCAAATTTCTTTAGGTTTGTTGATGAAGCACATACTATCTGTAATGGTTTTCAATACCATTTTCACCCTTGGTAGGTAGAACTATATGTCTGAAGCAGCTCAGCATGTGATGGCCTAAATCATTTGGTGATTTTTTCAGTTTTTAATTATTTTGTTTGATTATTTTTATACTGTGTACAGTTTTTTTCTTATATTTCTTAATTTTTTCACCATTTTGTAAACATGCTGATATGAGTGTGATCAAAATGTTGTCATTTGTATAAATAGCACTGCTAGTGACTTGAAGTATTTTTTTATATATATAAGTATATACAGTACAGTAATACACATACGGTGTAAGTTTTTAATACCCAGATAACATACTGATTCAGTTTCTTGCCTATAAAAGATGGAGTTCCTAGTATTTAATGTAGCTAATGGTATTTGATATTTTTTTTATTTTCAGTATAACCTTTGGAATCTGTATATCACTTATCTGGGAGTCAAAGATAACTACCATCTTTGAAGTAATAATAAAAAGGCCAAAGAAAATCAGTGACTTTGTTTTAAATATCCTCTTACCCAACCTTGTTTAGTGTGTGGCAGTGCTCACCTCTTATCCTTAGTGTTGCTGGTACATGCTCATAGCACCCCTTGTTCACCCAGTTGTGAATGGGTACCTAATTTTACAGCTGGGGAAGTATTTTTTGTATCTTAGTTTACATTGTTCAGAACTCGAGATGTTAAGAATACAGTACTGAACAATTCTTCAGCTGATCTTTGTATATACAAGGGTGTGTTTTGGATATGAAATTTGTTTTTATAGATGTATATTGTGTTCCAACCTGTGCCACCCTCTGTAACCCACATTAATCTTACTGTACTTATGTTGCATGTGTATACCATAGACAAAGAAATCAGGACTATCCAAATCTTCATTTACATGATGTGTGCTGCCTGAAATATAGGTGTTATACCTTTTTTTTTAAATTGAAGCACAGTATTCTTCAGTATTTGAATGTTAACCCCTTCACTACTTGACACTACTTTTAATATTGTATTAGGGTAACGCCAGTGATTTTATTCAGCACAGAGAGACCCCTTGTACCCAAGGGGTTAAATTACTATACAGTATAAAGCAGGAACAACAAGCCACTCTAGCTAGCCATGATCTATGAACAGACCCTGACAGACCCAGGGAATGCGTGATCATTGGCTAGCTCTAGTGTAGATTTTTAAAGGTTGGTATGATGAATATTTCTTGTAGCTGTAGATGTAAGAGTACACCTACCCAGTAGACTAATGCTAAATCACCAAAAAAGCTTTCAAGATTAACATCCCCATCTTATACGAGTTCTTGATGAATTCATCACCAGCTCCATCCCAGTGTTTAAGATAACCACCTGGTAGGAGAAATTATTTTTAAGGCTTTTCCTTACTCATATGAAAGATTAATTAATAACACTGGTACATACTGTAATGACTGACTATATTTTTCTTAAGTTTACTACCTGTTAACCCTCCGTAAAGAAACATGTTCCTCAAAAGCATTAAATATTGAAAAAAAAAGTGAAAGTGGGTCCCACAGGCCTGACAGACTGTTAGGGACAGTGAAAATATAGCTCAGTGTATAATGTACAAAGCCTTTGGTACACAAAGAAGCCGTGTGACTGGCACTACACTTGATTATTTTCACTTTCCAAACTATAAAGTTAGTTACTCGTTTATAATTAGATGAACTAGGAGTGCATTGGTTAGGAATCAGTAATGCTTAGGGTAGGTGGAAAGTGCTGTATCCTCTCAGCCATTATTGGATCTTATTGGCTGTATTAATATTAAAAGTATCAACTTTATTTTTGTATGCTTCTAATGAAACAAGATATGAACTAAGTCATGACATACACCAAAATTTTCACTTTTGTCCATGCTGGCTGTTACTGTACATCTATATGATAAAAGTTCTTATTAGGTTATGTTGAGGTTATGGCTGAAGAAAAAAAATCATGAGTCAACATTTCTTACTAAACTATACTGTACATATAATACTTATGAAATTTAGGAAGCACAAGTTATTTACTGTATCTGTTAATTAATTTTTTTTTTTACATGTGTTTTCCCAATAAACATAATCTACCAAGTCCCCAAATTTTAGTTAGTCACCAGGAGAGGGACTTTTAAAAACACAATGAACCCCTCTACTGTAGTTAAATAGGTGGATGCCTTGAGATACAGTATCTATGGTGTGTTCCTCCTGCTCTTACTCTAGAACTGTCTTAACATCAGTTTAGGTGGATTATTCCCATTAGGGGAGCAGGTTGAGCAAAGTGCTTCCAGCTCATTGGTACAGTACTGCATACCTCACCTGCCCAACTGGCTTTTGTATGAAGTATTGCTCATTCCCAGTTAATGGTTGTAAATGGTGGATTGGTTGTGATATGGTATATTCTAATTGAGTCGGGATTGAGCAGCTCGGTATCTCTCCTTCCTGTCTTTTGGGTACTTTATTGGTGGGCTGGATCTGAGGTGCTGGTCGAGATAACTTCAATTTATAGCCAACATCTACGGAAGCGGAATGGAGCAAACATATTTATTCTTCGCAGCAAAAATGATTAATTTAACCCCTTGAATATGATGACGACACCTTGAGTATAGTGATTTAACCCCTTGCATATGATGATGATTTAACCCTGTGAGCATGATGACTTGATGACTTACTGGGTTATGTCTTCATTCTTAAGGGGTTAAAGGACCTTCATACCAAGTACAGTATCTCCTTTTGGAATTTGTTTCGAATTTGTAGGACAAACTGATTATTAAATGTATACAATTCTTAGATCCCTGTCACATAAGTTGGGGGCCAGGAGATTTAACCCCTTAGATATGTGCTGGCTGTACAGAATTGCTTGATTGTAACTGTTGTTAAATAAGATTCTAAAGTAAATCCATCTTCATACAGTAGAATTTATTTTCATCATCTATGCATTTTGTGTGTGGGGGTGGAGGGAGCAGTCAGTTGATTTTGTAATGTTGCTTGCTTAGAGGTGATTAAAACACACCTCTACAACCCAAGCAAGCAGTATTTATCTAAAAAGAAAAAAGGGCCAAAGTTAATGCCCCCAAAATTAGAAAAAAAGATTGGGCTCTGTGCATCGTCCGGTGTGTAAAGTCTTGCTGTTGTGCACACGTTCTTCTGTACACAACCGCAAGACATCAGTACCTGTTCCTGCGTCCTGTAAATAATCAAGAATATTCTGTAAACTTTTCTGTTTTTATTTTGGTTTCATTAGAGTTTGAGTAAAGCTTTTTAAAGTTACCGGTAATGATACCATGTATAAGTGTTAGAGGGAGGGAGTGAAGTGTGTGGGTGAAAGGGGATGTAATGTGTGGGGGGAGGGAGTGTAGTGTGTTGGGGGGGGTAGGATGTGAAGTTTGGAATTGGTAGTGAGTAGATGTGGTGGGTAAGAAGGAGTGTTGTCTTTGGTGGAGAAGCTGGTTGTAGATAAGCAGGTTAGTTATGAAGCTTGGTGGAATACTTGCTAGTGGCCTATGGCAGGTGATTAAAGCGATGTGTGTTTGGCTGATGGTGATGTCATGATTCATTGCCTTCTGGCCCTAAGTGTTTTAACTCCTACCTAAACCTCCCATTCAGATTGACGGTTTTAGCAGGAAGATGTAACTAATTATTGAAGTAGTCTCAGGTGTCGGCATTAGTGAGATGATATATGATTCATTTAAGTCTTGAATTCGGTTATAAAATGGGACTTCAGAATTAATACTCCATTTTTTTTGCTTATGCATGATGGTATGGAAAGGTGAGTCCAGTTTTTTGATTAGTTTCATTTTAAAGTTTTCCTCTTATGTCATGTAAATCAGCCCAATACATAATACGAAACTCATTTTTCTTAATTGTATACAGTACAGGTATCTCAATTTTACTGTTGTATTGTTGGCCTTATGCAGGTAGTAGTGAATAAATACAGGTTGTGCCTTAGGGAATCTGAGACAAGTGTATTTCAGTGGTAAGGTTGGTATATATTGTAATACCTTTAGCCTTATAAATTAACCTATGGGAATGATTCAGGATCTATAAGTTGATAAGTGTATGTGGGTTTTGAGACTTTATTTTTTTTCATTTTGCAATATACTTTTTACAAACATCTTTTCAGAAACCGGCAATGCCCTGAAAAATGTTTGCTCAGGTGAGTTGTGAAGGTAGACACACGGCCAAACACACTTATCTCCTGGATAGCAATTGATGCATGACTTTAGATTTTGTTTCCTACAATGAATTGGCTTCACAGTCATTGCTGGACAGTCTGCTTTGTTGTTTAATTGTAGAGGAAGTTACACTGTTGCATGAATATTTTATTAATATTTCTGTTTTGATATTTTGGTCAACATTTTTAAGAGGTCAGGTCAGAGGGTTAATGGACCGATGGATAGCTGTGACAGGTAAAAAATATTGATAACTTCAACTGATATATTCCAATATGCACTGCACTAAAGTGTTTTCAGGTTTGCCAATGTATTTTTTTTATTATAGTATTGTCTCATTCACTCTAGGATACAGTACTTGAATTTTTGGGACATATTTATAGGGCTGGTTCTATTCTATTCTGTATTTTAAAGTATGAATGTAATTGTGAGTTATCCACCAGTTTGAGATTCGAAGCTGTGTAGGCCTAATACAGGTACCCTTGTGTATCAGCTGCATAATTTAGTTATACCAGTATGACAAATGAAAAAAATTGAGGCCCACTTTAATCTGAGGTCTGGATGCCTAGCACCCGCTGCACCCTTACAAGGACTGGCTCTGGATACTTAGCTCCTGTCCACATGCAGGAACTATTTTGCACTGTAAGTAAGATATACTTCAAATAACTGCACACTTACAAAGGGCAACTGTATGGGGATTGTGGTATGTTAGTGTCTTTTACTAGGTCTACTGTCTCAAGGAACAGGAAGAAGTACAGTAACAGGTATTACAGTATAGTATTTTACAACAGAAGACTCCCCATGTATAAAGCAAATGTAAAATTACATACAGCATTGTATGCTATTTGGTCAATGTTGTTAAGCAGAGTTTAAGGCATTGGAAGATATCCAATCTGAATTCTTTGGGACCAAGAAGTGTTCAAATTATGGTTATTTTGGATTATAGATACCAGTCTCTGATGGTCCAGGCTGAGGTCTAAACATGTTGTAGCTTTAGCAGCGGTGTGTTTGTATATCTCGTGCATTTTTTAAATGTTATTACTGTAGCATGTAATACTGTAGAGTAGTGTACTGGATGTAAATGTATACTACTGTATATAAAACATTTTGGAAACATTTATTTATTGTACAGGTATTTACAAAAAACCCATAAATAGGTACAGGTACTGTATACCTTTAAGAGGCAGCCAATCTATTATTGCGCATGGTTTTATACTTAGCAGTGCCCTTATTTGGATCACTCAACTTAAAATTTAGAGGTCATCATGTTGCTTCTTGATATTGTGTGTGGTTCTGGTACAGTACCAGCACCACAACACTCCCTCAGGTTATTCATCAAATTGCCCATAATGTATCTCACTTCTGTTGAATTCCAATCTTATTCATAATGGTAAGCATAACATGCTTCCTGTTTACACCTCCACACTTAGCACTACAGGATATCTATCACTTGGAAGCTTGTTGGATGCCTTTGTAATAGCAAAAATCACATAGTACTGTATCTATAACAGAACAACCTTTAATTGAAGGTGGGATGGGTTACTGCATTGTGGGATATCACATACCGGTAAACAGTCGTTGGAAACTCATGTGTCATTTTGATGGAAATCTTGAATGCACAGACATTCACAGTATTAATTTTGAAATTATTTAGTTGCTTAAGGGATACTCTATAGTTTTGATTTTTGTTAAGGTTTCTTTTGGTCTCTATATTTACAGTAGATTAATTTGCTGTAAATATTAACACATTCGTGCATTGACTTGATGCATTGTACTGAATTGGTACAGTACTCCTGGGTAGTTATATTGGGAATGTGTCTTTTTTTATTTTGGCTGCTTGTCATCTGAGGACCCAGGAGACCTAAACATTAGTGGCAACTATAGCCTTAAAAGTGGTATTTGGAAGCAAAGACTTTTCCCCACTGGACATGAGAGGAGAAGGTTGGTCAACCGCACTTGTTCCCTGTCTTCTGGGTCGGCCTCACTGGTTATCTAGGCTTTACAATCCACCCATACTTTGCGTGCCCCTCATTTTGAACTCTCCCACTTTTCATTGCAAACTCTTCAGCTGCATGTTTCATCTCTAATTACTGTAATGTATTTAAGTACAACTTAAGATTTCTTGTTTTATGTTGTCAGTGGTAATTATAGTTTCCTCACAGTCCAGTTTGAGTATGACTTCCTTTAAATTTAAAGTGTTATACAGTCATCCTTTTGTGTGCTGTATTATATTGGGGATGGTATTGCCTCATGGCTCTTATCAAGGGAGGTAATTACTGTATACTATACATATTTGTGATATCTTCATTTCTGTATGACATTTTCAAATGGATAAGTACGGTAATTTGATTTAGATTTGAAGTACTGTACTGTACGGTAGATATATTTCATTAATACCTTTACCTGTATGTGATGTTTTTTAAGTTTTGGGGTTATGTTCCCTTAAAGTGGCCATGAAGGGAATACTGCAGTTTGTTTTATAGCCATACATTAGGATTGAGCAACTCTCTATAACAACCAACTCCTTTGGCAGTTGGGGATAGAATCCCCAGCCCCAGCCCCCAACTTATGAGGGTACCCTAAGATGGGAGAGGGAAGGAGAGTTTTTGCTGCTAAGCGTATCATGTCTGCTACAATCTATTTTTGTTTTCAACATTAGTCATAAGGTGACTCTTAGTTCCATTCCCATTGCTGCACTAAAGGGACCTGCTCAGCATCTGTTCCTACATTAGAGATAGCCAAGTGTTTATATTAGGCAGTTACATACAGTACTGTACAGTATAGTGTTCGTTCCTACATACAGTGCAGTGTTATAACATCTTTATATTGTGTTGCAAGAGTCTTTACTGAATGACCTAAGTTGGTAGCGAGTTAGTGGATCAGTATACAGGACTGGTGAGACAAATGTCAGTATAGGTACTCCTGAGCATGTGGATTCCGAACCTATTGTCGACAGTTCAATTGCGGAGTAATTAGTGGTCGTAATGACTCTTGGAATATTTTAATGACATTTTACTCAATGCTAATTACTATACTCACCAACTATTGGTTTCTGAGGTGATTGGTTGGTGTTTTTATGTTCTTCTGGATGTACTTAATTACTGTATGCCTGGTGCTGGATCTGGCACAAGGTAAGTAAGAAGAGTGTCTTGTTCTCTGAGTGGTAGTTGTCTCATTTTGAATCTTCTGGAAGTTCCATTTTCTTGTTTTCATTGTGTATCCTATCCCAGGAGTCATATAATAAGTCATAATGTGGGTTTTAGGGTTTACTATGTCCTCCTTTGTGTTTTCTGGTCTAACAAATAGTATTCCTATAAGTCATTGATCTCGAACCCATTGTTTGATGGTGTCAGAATCATTTGCCTTTATCCTCTTTGCTACTGATTGGGTCATTAGCTCCAGAACTCCAGAAATTTCATGCTTTCTTAATAAAAGAAAAATAATTGCCATAATCAGACCAATGGAGTGAGGAGTTGTCACCATCTTCGAGGAAACATCTCACTGCATCTTGCACAGATAAACTTTTTGCCTGCACATCCCAATTTCTTTTCAATCCTACCCATCAAAGCTTGAAATCACCTTTATACACATTTCGCGGTGAATATAGACCAACATTACCATTTAAACACATTACTTTTCACTTTCCAGATAAAAGCCATGTCTGTACATTACAGTATTACTGAAAAAATGCCTGACTTATTAAGTTAAATCTCACTGCGGGTGGTCAGAAACGTAGATTTTCTTCAAATTTCATGGAAAGGTTCGCTGTGAATTGCTGGTTAAAGGTCTGGGTTAAAAATTGCCCAATTCAAAAAATTAGTTTTAATTAATTATCCTTTAAATAGTTAAACAAATTTAGCATATTTGAAATGTCAATTACCTTTTTACACGTTTTGTGAAGAATATTGACTACCGGTAACTATCATTTAAACACATTACTCTTCATTTTCCCAATATAAGCCATTACGTACTGCCCCCCAAAATGCCTGACCTACCGGTAGGTATTCCAGTTATCTTGAATTTTACTTCTCAAATGTAATTAAATAGTGTACATTTTTAAATAAAAACATATATTTCTAAATACAGTACAGGTACAACATTTAAATATATTATGTATACTGTGTTTAAATTAATATTTGAGTACTGTACAGTAATGTTAAATATATTACTGCCCATCGCTGCACATACTGTATTTGTAGTTAAACCTTGAAGTACAATGTGTTTTAATAATGTACAGATTGTATACTAAAAACGAAGCACTTGTTCATGAATACAGTACAGGTACAGTATTTGTAATTGTTGTGAAAATTTAACTTTGAAAGTTAAACTAGAACAATTTCAGTAACTGAAACTTTTGTTTTATACAAACCTAATAGGAATATCATATGGTATCCTAGTCATAAAATTCTATATACCTGTACTGTACAATAATTAGTACAGGTAATAACAGATGATTAATAATCAGTGTACTTTATTTTAACAGTGTTGTCTTTGAGTCAGTGTTGTGCAAAATTGAAAGTGGTGGATACAAAGTGTTTTAATGTTGTCATTAATTTAATTATTAGGTGTGACATTGCGCTTCTGGTCTTGTGTACAGTATGTATATTTGGATCACCTGAAAACTAACCCCCCCCCCACCTTACTGTATTTAGCTCTAAAATGAACAAACCCAATCATCAGATGTAATAAGCTGGGGACTAATCTTCAGGTGCTATGAATGTTATGTACACTACTGTACCAATGAAATTTGTGCTACAACCTTGGCCACTCTTAACTATGTTTGTTAAGGATCAGTATTAACAAACCGTAAGTACAGTACTGTAGTCTTGGTATTCACTCCTTATAGGCGCATGTGTGGGGACGAGTCTACAGTGACCAGTGTGGGCTTCACGCCAGATAGTTGTTATCTTGCGACTGGTAGTAGTGGGGGTGAATTGCGAGTGTGGGACGCTCGTTATGGTCACTCTGTACCCCTTGCCATGAAGGCTGAGGCTCATGACTTAGGGGTGTCTTCACTTCACTTTAGCCCAGTGGTTGGAAAGGAGGGTGAGTGAAATAAAATCATAAATTATCTTTTAAATATATTTGTCATTTATACAGTAATGTTAAATGGCCAAAGTTTCCATCAAAACAGAAAATTTAAAATGTATTAGCATGTCTGCATTTTACTTTAGTCCTTAAAGTAGAAATGAAGTTAAACCTGAAGTAAAATATTTTATTTATTCCATTTTTTAAATTTGCAGGAATGCATATTTTTATGCCAACTGTCTGTATGCAATGTTTCAGTTCACTAACTTAAGGAAGAGTTTTTGGATCAAAATTAAATTTAATATAAACAGTACAGTACAGCATTGTTTTCACGAATTTTTATAATGATTGTAATAATCATATTTTGTCAACCTTATTTACCCAGAGGTTTGGTCCCAGTTTGACTTAAAATTTTGACAGGGTATACATCACTTGTACTGTTTGTATAGTTTTCATGTCTTTTTTGTTAATATCATTTATTCTGTAATTTCAGAGATCAGTGCATTAGGCAAACAGTACCTGCTAGCTTCAGGTGGGCAGGACACAGAGCTACACTTGTGGGTGGTTGAGATTGAGAGCCAAATATTGGGTGGAGACAACACACCCATTATTGCACTTCATCATAGTTTATGTGGCCATAGTGCTCCAATCATGTCAGTCAGGTTCAATGCGAATGGACTGATTCTGGCATCTGCCTCTGGAGATAAAACTGTCAGATTATGGGACACAGTAAGTTGGCCTTATAGTTCTTTGTAGGATATTATAAAATAGTTTTGGAGTAAAGATATCATCTCTGGCATCTCCACTCTTACAGGCATGTGTACTGAGGTGTAGAAAGTACCCTATGTCAGCATTTACCTATGATAAGATTTTGTATACTTAAGTAATTCCATCGTTATGTGATATAAATAGATAGAAAGATTATTTTTGGATTTATGTAATTTTCATTGATGTATTTCATGTTACAGTATACGTAGTTACTGTGTATATTTTGACAAGGGATGTTACAATCTGGATTAAAATACAGTATTTAGTTGTAAATAGTGTTTTTTTTTAATTTCAGATAAAATTAACACCGCTTGCAGTTTTAGAAGGCCACAAGCGATATGTAACCTCATGTGCCTTTAGTGACGACGGAGCTCTAGTTGCTGCAGGGAGTGGCGATCGTGTTGTCCATGTGTGGCGAGTAGATGGTGCTACAAGCTCAGTTAATCAAATACCTGGAAAGTCTGTTGGCAAAAAGAAGCTGATGGTTAGGTTTCCTTCACAGAGATTCCGAGAGAATGTGAAGGTGAGCGTAGTATTTGAAGTCCTGTTGAACCTGGTAGAAATACAGTACAGTAACAGTATTTGTGGAGTGATTATGACATTTTGGTCAAATTTCTGGGATTTCTGGTTATCCATACATCAACTGTATCATTCACCATGAGTCAAATGTTCTTTTTTAGTCTCTTTCTGTTTAATTTTTTTTTTATCTTTCAGCTTGTTGAGTGGAACTGTGAGGATGTATGTGGCTGGCTTGTTGAACAAGGGCTAGCAGAATATTCACACAATTTTCGTTCACATGCCATTGATGGCCGAGAATTGCTGACAGTGACAGATGAAATCCTTGAAGAAAAGCTTGGTGTTGGTATGTTAATTTACTGGGTATTTATATTTTCAGAACAGTATTATGAATAAGGCTCTTAAGATTACACAGCTATGTCTCTTTCTTGGGAATCCAGTATGATTGTGGAGGATATTCCAATTTTCTAATTTATTAAGAGTTTTAGGCTCCAGTCACAAGTTGCCTCAGGTCATTTAAACAATAGGGTTTTAGGATCAGTCTTTCATTTATCATGGTGCTATTCTTGTTGGCCTGGTGAGTTAATGCTAGGCATTTACATACCTAGGTATAAAGCTAGATGTCGCATTCTGGACTATATCACAAAAACTGGTTTTTAGAAAAATATTGCTTTTTCTTTAATATATTGGTTTTATTTATGCATGTACTTTATATAAATAAATAAATTTAACAGATGCTCTAGGTCATCGCAACAGAATTCTCCGACTGGTTCGGAAATCGTCTCAAGATTCTCTGACCAAAAAGGAGGCCCCAAATGCACCACCTTCGGAGTATCTCTGTCCGATTACACAGGAATTAATAAGTGATCCTGTTCTCTGTGCAGGTTAGTAAAAAGCTTTACTACAAGTTCTTATGCTTTAATTAAGAAATACTGTTTTGAAATAAAATTTCAAGTCTTCATTACTGTTAGTTGTATCTTATAGTGAACAGTGGAAAAAAGACTTAGGCTTGAAACTGTAGTTTTTTATAACAATTGTGTAAAAAATCATACATTAACGAGGGTTTACTGTCATTTTGGATAATTGAAATAAATCATAAAGTCTTGACTTACTGCCTCAATGACTCGCTTTTCTTTGTTAGAGAAGGGATTTTTCATGTTCATAATTACAACCTGACTGAGTATTAAATCAATAGTTTGATGTAAAATTTTCAATAAAATTTTTTAGTTATTGTATTAGTAGTTGAGGTTAGAGAATGATGAGACTTCACCAGAGATGTTAGACACAATATCTGGCACCACTACTGGGTGAGAGGACTTTTGTTTGTGATTTTTTTGACTGTTTACATTTCAGTTTAATCTTATGACCTGTGGTGCCACATACACAATAACCTCTGTCTTTTTAAAACAAAGCAAATGTTGTATGTTAATTGCATAGTTTTATTAATGAGGCTTTTTGTTATTTGAAAGTTTAGTGCATTATAGTATTACATTCATTTTTTTTTTTTTTTTTAGTAATTACACTATTTGTTTTATGTTCAGATGGATTTACCTATGAACGGGTGGCAATGGAGGCTTGGCTTGCCAGTGGTAAACGTACAAGCCCAATGACCAATGAGAAGTTAACACACCTCACCCTCACTCCCAACCGTACACTACGGACATTAATACAGAGGTATAAGGAGGAAAATATGTGACCTTGCAGGTTTTGTATATGGTTATGGTTTTTTACAAGACAGCTCATAGACTGTAAAAGGAAAATTGCACCCAGTAGAGGTGTCGGTGGTACACTTAAAGGTATGGTTTATTTTTATTTATGTTAAGAAGTTCATTAAATTAGAAATTAGAAAAGTTTTGTGATAAGTGTACTTAATAAGTACTGTACTGGTAATTCTGATACTGTATATGAACATGATTTAAAATGTACTCATACTGTCAAAGATCACAGACCTTGTCATTGACAGAGTGTGATTAGGTGAAACAAGTGGTAGAATTTGTTAAATGATATTTTTAGTGTTGGTAATGTGACTGATATCGTAATTTTTTGAGCTAATACTTAAAATATAGAAAAAGTCTGTTCAATATGCACGGATATTGTCGACCTCACATTTTTATAACAATCTTATTGCACTCTTAGGCTGCAAGATGTTTTTCTTAAACAAGGAAGAGATTTTCTTAAAAAAAATCAAAAGAATTAATTAATCATGAACCATCAAAAGGGTGATGGTATACTGGTATATTATTTGAAGAAAAAGATGTAAAGAAAATAATTACATTTATAAAAGGTTGGGACCAGTGTAGGAGAGGAAGTGACACATTTTACAAAAGTCATGTAGACAAACCTTTATTCCTTTATAAGTTCTATACTGATTACAGTGTTATTGTCATATCCCAGAGATTTAAGAGAGTGTACCTAGTCCCATTTTTCCTTGATTCTCCATCTTTTACAGTAGAGTTATATAACTTTCCAGATATTCCTGCTTAGTAGAAGCACTGAAGACTTAACCCAAAGCAAACTGCCTGTGATTGTTTTTTTTTCTTCAAGTAATTTTTAAATATGTTTGTTTCTATCATCTGTTTAGTCATAAAATGATAAAATGGGGAAGGATCCAGAATAATACAGTACAGTAATATGACTAGTAGAGTTAAGGAAAAGAAAAGTGATGAAAACTGTCTCTTGTCACCATACTTAGCTCACAGAGATGAATTCTACCTCAGCCTGTATGAGGATTCTGAAATAATTTTTTTTTTGTAATGAGTAATGGAATGTTGCCAATTACTTAATACTGAACTACCACCCAACCGGCTAACGAGCCGATCAGTGGCAAAGTGAAAGTAACAAACAGAATAAGTCATATCAAGGACAGTGTGAATATTATCATATCAAAGATTGCCAAGAATTTACGTTGCTGATTGAACTTTCTTTTATATACAGTAAGGTCCCGCTGAACAAGTGATATGCTTTCCTGAAAAAGGACTCATTAAGTGAATTCTTGTTTAACAGGACCCATTTTCATATAGGAGCCTGCCTTAAAAGGTGAGATGTGTTCCAGCCTAAAATTCTAAACCCCAAATCCCATGGTATAAAGTAGATGTCACTGGTGTGCACAAAAAGGCCACTAGAAATGACAATATATCATCTTTTATGTTGGGAACATCGTGACATAGCAGTTGCAATGACAAAAATCTATCAAAACCAATGCTTATTTACTAAAAAAAAAATAATTTATGACCGCATTCCCTGCAAAAATGTTAATATTTACTGATGTGGAAGCGGTGTTAGCAAGCAGTTTTATGGATCAGCATCTACAGAGCTCACAGTGCATTGTGGGATGTTTTATACCAGGGCAGGGAACATGAAAACGTGCACAGTATTTACGATATCATAAGTGTATCGTAATATGAAGGCTATAGATTTTTAAGTGATAAAATTAAATTACCTGTAGTTTTTAGTATTTCTTCTCTAAATACTCAACAATTCTCCTACATACTGTAGGTAATGGAATCAATATCACCCACTCTACCACTAAGTATTGTACCCAAGTAGTGCAATTTTTCCTTATTTACTCTTGGAGTTTTGTATGGAAATTAAAGTGCAACAGTATTATTCTATCTTATTTTTTATATGTATAAAATAATTATCTGATGAAATTTAAAACTTAATTAGTTTGTTGTTTCTTCTCTAAATTATAAATTGATGTGGTTTCTACACCATATTGGTCATTGGGTTACTTGCTGATTGACTTTTATCAAATTTTTTGAGAATTTCCACTTTTTGTTTACTATTAAGACTTTATATCCCTTTTGTACTATTGCACTCATTACTGTTACTTTTGCATTTGTTTGAGAAATTTTAAAGGCAGCACACCAGGTTAGAAATCCACACTGCTTAATAGGTGATGAAAGATCCATGGGCAGCACAAGTGTGAAGGTGATATTGGCCCTGGCCAGAAAACAAATGCTGCCATATTTTCTAGGCTCATTGGTAAGCCAGGCTGGTACTGATCTCACCTCGGAGTATGTATAGAAAACATGTCTACGAATGCATTTGTGTAACTGGCTGCTCAACCAATGACCGATTCCACTCCAAAAATGTTAATGTGAACTGGTCCACTCTGAATTCAGCTCATTAAATCAAATAGAAGCTTGTTCACTAAATTCTCACACCTAAAATACTTAGCTTGTTAAACCAAATTCTCGTTCATGGGTTATTTGTTCAACAGGACCTGACTCTACTGGTATACGTTTTTTTCTTTAATTACTTCTTGGTTGTCTCCGTACCTTAATGTTTCTGTAATTTTTATTAGTTGAAATTACTTTCATTAAAGTTTTTATTGTGCAAGGCATCCATAAGTACAATCTTTAGTTGTTTTTTTGTTTTTTAACCAAATAATAATGAAATAAATTAAAAGCAATGGAAATTCTTGGTTGTCTGATTTTGTGCTAACAATTTTTGTAAATCAACTGAGCTTAATGTAGATTGAACCAGTATGGTTTGTGATAAAGTTTTCAGTGCTAGTAATATTATTTTTGTGTTATTAGGTCAAATAGATTTTATTAATATGAATTTATTTTCAGGATATAGAAAATTAGATTTACATAGAGTATATTATTTAACATTACTATGCATTGAAACCTCTCTTCTTTTATAGGCTTAATTATAAATTGATGTGATTTTTATCAGAGGAAACCGTGTTAATTGTGCCAAATTCATATTTTACTCATGGGGTTAATAAAATTTAGCAAGTTTACATCAGAGATTTAGAATAAAATGGCTTGATCTTATTTATGCCCCCAAAAATAAGTATCCAAGAATTGCTTGCATTCAAATTTCATGGTGCTTGGGTTTAGGAAGCTAACAGACTTTTTATAAGTAAACTGATCATCTGATTAATTGTAACTCTACCCTGTCTTTTCCACCCAGACAAGCATTGGAAAATCCTTATCATTCACTCCTGTGATGATGCTCTTCAAGGAAAGTACAATCTTTTTTAATCCCTCTTATGATTATTTTGTAAGTAATGGTCTGGGAATTGAAGCTGAACTGTTTTTAGAGCTGTTGTTAACAGTAATAGAATGAAGGATAAACTTCAGTTTATCCTTCAAGTTGTGTGCTATTTTGTTGGGAAGTAGTAGTACATTACATTGATGCATGTATCATTACTTATATAATGGACCTTCAACTGATGAAAAATTGAGGTTGTTTTCAGAGACTAATTAATCTGTGACACTGGTGGATATTTCTCATATGCATGTCACCCTTGAAAACCTGACTGCTCTATACTCAGATACTGGCCAATACTGTGCCCTGCTTTCTATCTGGAGACAAATTGATGGTGTAAGTAAATTCAAGATTTTCAAAATGACCGGAAGGTTTATTGCCATGAAGAATGAAGAGAGAAAAGAGGTATGGTTCCTGGTGCCATATGTGCAGAAGGTTGTGATGTGGGTGACCTCTAATGGCTTTATTGGACTATCCCTGTTTTGAATCAACGAACTATTGTGTGTGTAGGGAACCAATATACAGTACTGTGCATATAAATAAACAAGTACTGGTAGTCCTTGAGTTAAGAATGGGTTATGTTCCAAGAACCTTTTTGTAAATCGGAAGTGTTAATTTCAAAGGTTAGGTTCGGTTAAAACACGACCATGTCCAGACAAATTAATAATAATATTCCATACATAACAAATAGTGTAAATATCTGTAAATAAAGTGATGTTAAACAATATAAAGTACAGTGTGATGAAAAACTAAGATTTTAAATACCATTTTTTTTTTTTTAATATACTGTACAGGATTATGATCATGTTTGTAAATACTGTACAGGTGTTTATAAGTCAGGTGTTCATAACTCAAGGACTGTATATATATATATATATATATATACCGTATATCACGGCCTATAAGGCGGGGTGCTATAGACGCCCCCCAAATTCCATTTAAAAAGTAGCTTTTGAGCTCTATTTGCTGTATAAGACCAGTACCCCAAATGTGACACTTACCCACTGACTCAGTAGTCCTTTACCAACCATCCTTGATTTTTTAAAATAAGGCCAATTCACTTCAAGTAATGTCATCAAATTATACCCGCTGGTGTAGTGTAAACACTAGTGACGTCACTAGCGTGGTGGGAGTTCCCTCGTCTCCGTGGTGTGACTATTTATACAACATGTGGTTCAACAACCACCGTATTCTAATTGTGGTGTTTCATTGATTTGAGTGAAAAAGGTTCCAGTATGTACTTACTACATACATTTACAAATTATATATATATATATATATATATATATATATATATATATATATATATATATATATATATATATATATATATATATATATATATATATATATATATATATTTGATAAAAAACAGCGCCTTTAGTCTTTATTCAAGACATCTTTGAGGCCTCTGAAGATGTCTTGAATAAACAGCAAATATATTCCATTTCCGATGTGATATATCGTTTTCATTGTGGATTTACATGAAATATATATATATATATATATATATATATATACTGAATATACTATGTACAAAAAATGAATGTTCAATGAATTATTTATGGTGCATTGGTACTGGTCACTTCAAATGGGCTATAAATAGCTTGTTATCTCCCTCCATCTCCCCTAGGCCAGACGGAAGGGTCTTGGTAAATAACATGTTTGCTTAT